AAATGAATTGGAAAAAAAAATTTAAAAAAAAAAAAAAAAAAAAAAAACACACACAATTTGTTTAACAAAATATTATAAATAATAAAATGAAAATCAATAGAGTAAGTAATTAATTGCCAAACATCTTTTTTACCGGTGTCATTAGGGTTTTGTATTCGCGGTAAAATTCCGAGATATTTCTACACGTTTTTATTTGGGCGGACTATTAAACTAATATTTGGTCTCACATTTAGTCACACTTAAATTTGACTTTCTTTAAATGATATTATCAATTATTTCTTTTTATTAGAAAAATAATAGCCCAATTTTTGTTAAATTATACAATAATTTATTCTAGCAACATTTAACTTAATTATTTCTATTTAATGTTTAAATTAAAAATAATGCCAGTACGAACCTTGATAGAAATAAAAAAGAAAAAGTTGTTTCTTTTATAATTTTTAATTTATAAATATTGTAACAAGACTGAATAATTTTTATCAACAAAAAAAACGTTCACAAGGTGTGGCCTTTAACTTGGCTTCATGATCTTTATGTGGAAGATAACGAATTTGAGATAAGGGATTTTCTCTATTCATTTGGTAATTATTTATTATCTTTTTTTTCCTGAAAGGGGATAATCTTTTTTTTCAAATTCATTATCTCCAACATAATAAAGACACTTTGTAAACTTCTATTTGAATCCGATAAAAATTAGTCACGTCCGATGAGGAAAAAAAACACTATATTTATCCATAGATATTTGAAGACAATGAAAATTTCTCTCAATGTCACGTAAAAGAGTTTATCCGTCAACCACATGTTCATTATGTTAATAATTGAAGTGAGAATCAAGTTCATCTATACTTATCATAAAAGAATATCTCGTATATATAATTTTTAGATTATTTTATTTTTATATTTTTAAGTAATAAAAAATAATGTTGAAAATTAATTAAATTACTATTTGAATTCAAGACTTTGAGGTTTAAAGGCTAACCACAATACTAGTTGATTCAACAAACATTAATTATTTTTAAATAAATAAAGACACAAAATATCTCAATTTCACTAGTTCATAATAATATAGATAAAATGATTTTCCTATAAAAATATTTTCATATATTTAAAAAAATTTGTGTCAAGAATGTACATGCTAAATTAAAATATTAAAAATAATTTCATCTTATTAGGATAACTTTATCTTATAATATTACTAAAAAAATTGTTTGAAATTACTGGTTTAGTATAGGTCTGGACATAAATAACATGATAATCAACATCCACACCCTCATATTTTGAAAATAATCCTACTTTCAAAACTATTCTCTGACGTAAATAAAGGTAATCACTTGTTCCGGCCTTAATGATGTGTTTGGATGAGGAATTTTACAAATTTAAAGAATTTTAAATTCTTGGTATTTGAATTACTTTGATTTCAATTTCTATCATTCTTAAAATATTTTGTTTGGATGAGTCAATTCAAATTTTTTAAATTTTAAATTGTTAGGTTGAATATGATAATTTGATTCCATCATAATAAAATTAATTTTAAAATATATTTATATGTTGAGATTTTAAAATTATTAAATATTTAAAATTTTAAAAATTAATATTAGATAATATTTGTGAATAATCAATTTTATCCGAACTCACAAAAATAATGAAATGAACATCTACTATGAAGAGGATGAGCTCTCAAAGTATATATGGATGTGACAACAAAGAAATTTGAAGCCAAAAAAAAAATTTAAGTAGCCCAGAACGGGCCGTTCCAAATTCGGAACGGGCCGTTCCAAGTTACAAAAAAGAACAACAGCTTTAATTGAGAACGGGCCGTTCCAAGGTGGGAACTGGCCGTTCCAAGTCAAAAAAAGACCAAAATTCCTAATCTGGAACCAGACGTTCCAAATTTAGAACATACCGTTCCGAATTTAGAACGGGCCGTTCCAGGTTCTAAATTTACGCGTAAGGCCGTATCTAGAACGGGCCGTTCTGAACTTAGAACGGGCCGTTCCAAATTCGCATTTAACACAAAACGTCCATATTCAGAACGGGCCGTTCCGATTTTGGAACGGGCCGTTCTGAGTCAGGTCTGACGTCTATAAATAGACGTCTGGGGCACAGTTTTCAGGACCTAGAAAAATTTCGTCCAATACTCTTTAGAGCTCGAATTTTTTTCTCTCTCTCCTCCCTCTCTTTTGTATTTCTTGAGATCTGTGAGACACCTCTGTAGTGTGAAAGGTAGCCAAAAAGCACCTTCTTGATCATCATATTCGAAGATTCATCTCATTTGATATCGTTCTTTTCTTAACTTTTTTTTTTCTTTTATTTATTTGTTTATTTTATTTTTTTATTTATTTTTTGTTTATTTATTTATTTATTTTTGTTTATTGTTTGTACATAATGAATATGATTTTTTGCCTTTAAGATTATTATTTATAAAAATATTTAATATACGACCAATAATAATGTTAAGTGAATAACATTTTTATCTTTAACATTATTAGGTCCTAGGAGTTTAATGACTAGTCATTTGCTAGCTTAAACTCTCCTTAACAAATTTGTTCTTTTAAAAAAAATAAAGATATGTTGCAAACAATAACGTTAATTAAGTAACACTTCTATTTTTAACGTTATTGGAGGGATTTATTGATTAGCCATTTGCTAACTTGAATCCTTATGCAAAATCTATTTCTTTAGATAAAAATATAAAAATATAAACATAATTTTGCTTTACGTATACATTATTTTTATGATTAATGATATTAATTGAGTAGCATTTCTACCCTTTAATATCATGTAAATCTTTTATTATCAACAAATAAAGATCAATAGCATTTGATTGAATAGCAGTTCTATCTTTCATGTTATTGGGAGGGTTTATTGATTAGTCATTTGCTAACCTAAATCCTTATGATGTTATTTTTTAATTAAAAAATATACAAAAGAAACATCTCTCATATTTAAAATATATATATATACATATATATATATATATATATATATGTATACACCTTTTTGAGGAATAAAATAAATGTTTATAAATTTATATAATTTTGCGCAATTAATTAAAGGTACTGTTTTTACGGGCGTTGTAGGGTGCTAATACCTTCTCTACACGTAATCGACTCTCGAACCCAACTTTAATTTTAAAGATTATCTTTTAAAGGGTTTTCCAATGTTTTTTCCTTGAAATAAAATATTGGTGGCCGCTCCATTGAAAAGAAATGTTAGCGTCATCCTGTCGTGATCCCGGTTACGATAATATTTAATAATTTTAAAAATATTTTTGAATATCCAATAATTAAAAGAATGAAGAGATAAGATAAAATATATAGATGAAATAAGAAAACAAATATGAGGAATTTCAAATTCTCCCATTTTTGGGAGAATTTGAAATTCTACTACTTGAAAGAATTTCTCAAATGCTTGAATTTTAAATTCTTTGTAAATTCCTCGTCCAGACAAAACACTTCACCTTAAAGAATTTGAAATTCTTCAAATAAATGAATTACCTTATATAAATTCTCCATCCAAACACACCATAAAGCATAAAATTGAGTCATTTCTATTGTTTTGATATATTAACACATTTTTCAACTCCCAAACAAAAAAGCTATACTGTATAGAGCTATGGAGCAAACGACGTTTCAGTGGTTGCAATTTGCAAACGAGAAAACATACACCCACCTACCTAGTCCTAGAACAACAGCTAGGCTTTCGATCAAACAAAGCTGAAGTATAGCAGAGTCCCACGTTACAGTAGAAGCCACTCATGAAATGAATCTACCAGTGACATTATGCAAAAATTCTCCCACATGTAACATGTTATAGTGATCCTAGATTCTTTTTTTATTGTTCCTAGAAATCCTCTCTATATATATGATTTTAGATAATGAATATTTGTTAAAATATTCTCTTAAATCTAAATTAGACATGTCAAACCATATTAAATTCATGTATTTTTTTATTTGTATTTTTGTGTGTATTTTATCTTTTGGTCCTTATTGTGTGTGAAAGGAGTTTTTCCTCAATAATTTCAAGTTGATTGATGAAGCATAACTTTGTCAAATGGGTTGAGTCAACTTTATCTAAACCAACTCACATGGGATAAATGACGATTTTATATTAGATTAAATTGATCTATATTACTTTTACACCATTATTTTTTGGCTCGGGCCATCTGGCCACTAAATCATATTGACCTAAATTGAAAATAAAAAAACAAATAAATGATTTTATATTAAAAATAAAAAATTTAAATATATTTTTTTAAAATAGTTAACATTTATTATTATTTATTCATTTTAGTTAAAATATTTGAATGTTTTGAATTTAGGAGATTGGAAGCAATTATTCTATTGATAAAAAAATATAAAGGTAAATAAATTAGAAAGAAAACTATATAGTTATATATATAATAGAGTGAGAGAGAGAGAGAGTTATATATTCCATCAACAAAATCATGAGTGAAATTAAACTTATTTTACTTCTAATTCTTCTATTTTTTTTTCCAAAAATGACAAAAAGACAGAAGAATATTAAAAACTCAAAAACCTATATTTCAATATATTATATTTAAATTTATGTTTTTTAAATAATTATTACTAATATTAAATTATTATTTTGCTTTTTTATTTTTTTTCTGTCATGCCTTTCTAAAGTCTACAAATAAGTTTGTCCTAAATTCATTTGATTTGTTGAATTATGTAAGTTAAACCAAAATCACTCAATTCTATTTAGGTTATTTTTATTAAAGTCTAATTTAATCATATTAATAAACTGATTGGATTGGCTCATTGAACTTGGCTTAATTTGACATCTCTAAAGTTTGCAAAACGAAAATATGAAATGTTGGGAAATGTGAAAATGGCTGCAACGAACTAACATGGCGACAATCGTTGAGAGGTAACGATAAAGTTTGGGAATTTTAATTAATGAAGCGATTGTTGCAAAAATCAAACAAAATTTCCAAATATTAATTTAAGTGAGTGAATTCAAAATATAAATTAAAAAATGAAAAATTTTGATTGTTAGCGCTCAGTAACCTGTGATAACTTCTAAAAGATGTTACACTTGATATTATGCTTAATAACTAATGTTCTACATCAAATTTCAACGATTTAATCATTAAATTTAAAATTTTTAATGCATAAGTTAAATTTATAAATTTTAAAAAAATTTAAAAATTATTTGATTTTTCGTTTCATTAATTTAAATTGATGAATAATCATAAAATTATTATTATATATATATACAGAGAGATACAGCCATGGCTGCACGGCATCTAATAACTGTAACCGGAGATTTTGTTCGAACACCACAAGTAATCATGTACAATGGCTTTGCTTCTATATGATGAGTGGGACAATGGCCACCCAATTCAAGGGGGTAAAGTAAAGACATATACTTATGGATGGAACCCACAGAAAATGAAATTATTAATGCTAGATGCATACTTGTCATGCCAGTTTCAGATTTTCGACATCACAGGGAATGAATGTGTTTTATCCTCTGAATAGCTTGCTTAACTTTTGTGGATGGCTCTTCGTACAAAATGTTAGGGTCATCAAACTCAGATGCCAAGCTTGGATCCCCAAGAAGAGCACGGAATGTGTCTGCCACGGAATATGAAAGAGACTTCAGATTATACCCTCCCTCCAAGAAAAACACACATCGGCCACCACATAAGTCTTTCGCTAGTTGTTTAATACTGGACGCTAGCATGTAATATGTTCCAGTTGTGTATTGAAGATTAGCAAGTGGATCCAACACGTGGCCATCATATCTAACAAATGAACATGAAATTCCACTTATTAATATGAGATAGATGACAATTTATATGAAGTCTTTCATTGTACTAAATAAATCCAAATTAATTTCATAGTAGAACTAAGATTTTAAGTGGCTTGGGAAACTAAATGCAACTAGCTAAAATTAAGTGTTTATTCCGTGTTTGCATTGATGGGTATGATTCAGAGTAAGACTCACCCAGCAGAAACGAGAATTATGTCTGGTTGAAATCTTTGAGCACATGGTACAATGACTTCATCGAACACAGTTCTAATAGCAGTATCACCAGAGCCTCCAGGAAGAGGCAGATTTAGTGTGGTTCCTTCACCGTCTCCACTACCCACCTCATCAAATTTACCAGTACCTGGATAGCTTCCATCCTGACAAAAAAAGTTATTAAATATACCATGGCTCAACAAAGTCGTACTATTTCTTTTCTTCACATTTTAGCACATTAATAAGTCTTGTACTATTACTTATCTTCACATAATGTAATAATGTTCCAAATGAAATGTGCCTAATACCCATTACATTACCATGTTGTATGTTGACATGTGCAAATAAAGGGGAGGGGATAGTCTGTTTGACTTTTTTTTATACAGTAGTCTGTTTGACTTTTATCCAATTGATATTGTATGCAAATTCGTGGGACTTTGGTGTAAAGAAGGGGGCCATTAAGGTATTTGATCAAGTGATTCAAGTCTTATTAATTTGAGAAGTTTTAGCTAGTTTGTTTTGTCCAACCGTGTAAGCATATTCCAGCGGGGAGGATTACAATTCGCAAAGCACACTATTATGTTAGAAGATAATATGCTTAAATCAAATATCAGGGAAGACATTGCAATTACACCAATAAATGAAGGAATAATCCTAGTTAATTCAATAATAAAATTATAGATATCATATTTATCCTATCGACCAAAGGAATAGCACCAGACACAAAACAGTTGGGCCATGGCTTCAAATTTTAGAATTGGCACTGAGAAGAAGTTGATGCCGTAGAAATGCAACATACATAATGAATGGTATGCAATTGAAGTATAATGAAATAGTAAAATGAATTATAAAGGTTACACGGGAGGGGGGAAAAGTAAAGAACCCGTGTCCACCTGAAATGGGTAAGGTGAATCAATGTACTATCAACTTGAATCTAAAAGAAGAGACAGATAGGAAGCACAAGAGAATGAATATCAAAAAGAACAGTATTTTGATAAAACAGTTATTTTCAAAATGGTTTTATTAGATATCAATATTCAATAAGAAAGTTTCTATAGCTTAAAAATATGGTCATCGGCACTATATATAACACTTTCCCTTGAGCACAAAGATACCAGAATAAACATTTCATGATACAGTCATCTTTCTATCTTATTACAGTACCACATTTCCCTCTACCAATCGACTTCAGTCCTAAGTAAAATAAAATAAATTGTTCTATAATCTAGAATTGTTATTTTATAGACATAAAAATTCAAGAATCTGAGCAAATCTGAACCAAAGATAAGTCTGCTAATATGTCTTCTAACACATCAGTAAGCAATGTAATCATTGAACACAGGTGGCATTTCAGAATCAATGAAGCACAAGAAAATATAATCTAGGACCAAATAAAATTAGTAGCTTACTTGATGAAAAGAAAGGAAAAATACATCCGGATCAGTATAGAAAGCATCATTCGTTCCATTCCCATGATGAACATCAAAGTCAATTATGAACACACGCTTCAGTCCATGAACACGCTGAGCATAACGGGCTGCAATGGCCACATTTCCAAAAATGCAGAAGCCCATAGGTCCTTGTGGAACAGCATGATGTCCTGGCGGTCTTATCAGAGCAAAACCAGTGGGTGCATCTCTCTTTATCTTTGAAGCTGCAACCTGAATATGAAATTGAACAAGAAAAATTTATATTCAACTCAGAAATATATCCCTATTTCACTATACTAACTGAAACATTTATATCTAACTCCAAGACCAACTATTTTAAAAGCCTTAGCTGTATTAGTTCGAGGACCAGGATTTTAATATCTTTGACAAACCCCTTGAGCAAGAACCAATTTGAAGCATACACAATATACAGTATTTTCATCTTGTGCAGAAATTCAATTAATTGTGAAGAAAAAGAGAGGCAAGGATAAAAATCTTTACCATTTGGTCTTACAGGCTTTGGTACCATGTTTCTAAAACCTTAAGCCACAGTATGTGGGGAATCAAGAATATTTTTCTTTTATCTCTAACAGCTTAGAATATATTAAACACAACAAAAGCCAATAAAGAACACACATTTGAGTTCCAAAACTTGTTAATTTGTGATTCCTACCTCCCCCAAACATTTAAAGATACAAGTTAGATAGATGCAATTTCTGTCAATATCAGGTTCCTATAAGGCAAAGACTCAAATTTCCAACAAAGAACAAAATAGTCCTTTCCAGTATGCAAGTCACTAGAAGAAGCAGATATGTACATATCCATATCCACTCACTTACCCCTCCCCAAAACATACACACAGATTATTACCAAGAGATGGACATGGCAGGTTGAGAGATCACCACTGAGTCAACTAAGGCTAATCCAGCGCCAGCTGCAATTATTGACTCCTGGAAGGTCTGCATCGTGAATACCACCATCAGAATGCAAGGAACACAACATCCAACAATGAACTAAAATCTAAAGTTTCTAGCACAGAATGACTTTCGGTAAAACCTAAGCTTGGGAAAGAAATATAAAGCTCTTAGCATAGCACTCACAGTGGCAGTGGCATATGTTGGTCCAGAACCATCAACGAAAATAAGGCCCTTCTCCACAGCTTGGTCCATAACCTATAAGGATTGAGAAGAGTAAATATGACAAATTTCAGAACAAGAACTTTTGTGCCATGGTAAAATAAGATAAAATGCAAATTATGGATGTTTGCCAATGGCCAGTGATAATGAAAACTGGAACTAAAAACTAGGATACTGAAGATTGGAAAAATCAGAATTCAGACGACGTGAGTAAAACACTATTTGAGCATAAATACCCAGTGAACAATTTAGTGTGCAGCAGCAATCCTTGATTCGATGTTTTATAATCACTGTGCATCAAACCGGAAGTAAACCATGCATCAAGTGTGTTGGAGTTCAAGTGTGAAGTGAAGTCCCACATTGGTTAGAGTTGGGCATGTTGAGTAATATACAAATGAGCTTGACGCCACAACTAGATCCACTTTAAAAATGGGTCACCCACCATTGATGCATGCCTCATAGGTATGAGGGGGTGTATTGGGAAAAACCCAAGTCTCGCCTATCCTAGATCATTAAAAAAGGGCTACCCACCATTTATCCACGTACCAAGCCCAATAGTGCTGGACGTGAGTGTATTGGGAAAAACCTGAGTCCCACATCGACTAGAGATTAGGCAATTGAATAGTATATAAGTGGAAAGCAACCCTCACCTTACAAGCCGGTTTTGTAGGGTTGAGTTAGGCTTAATCCACTATTCTAACAAAGTGGAACTGTGAAAATAATTGATAAAAGTGATGCAAAGCACATAACAAGTTCACCAACTAAATAATTCTTATGATGTACCATGTTTAATGGAAATACAATAGCAAAACTAGAAAAGATAATGCAAGGCATAAAAGGAAGTATAGCTGCATAGGCAATAAATATAAATAAAAAAAATTAGCAATTTGGCATATTTCCTAACCACAACTTCTTAAGTAAAATGTAAAATTAAAAAACATTATAATTTTAAAAACATAATATTTTATAGAACGAATAATTGAAGCCAAGAAATTTGGACTCAAGACTTAATTTAATCCTACAAAACTGTTCTATAAATTGATCGAAGACTACTTAAGCCTTATAAGGACTACATTGACTATATCTCAAGTCAGTGTGAAATCTCAACACACTTCCACATGCTCAGGACTAGACATTTGGAGCATGGACAAATGTAGGTGGCCCAATAACAATGGCCTTCATGTCCAAAACAAAACATCTAGAACATGGACAAATACAAGTGATACCATCTTAGAATTTTAGTTTAAAGCTTAACTCAATTTCATAAAATTGGTTTATAAAGTGAGGATTATCAAAACTTTATAAACTCTAGAGGCTACAATTAAGGAAACCCAAAAAGGTTGCACTTAAGGCAGGCTACAGGTGACCGCAATTTAGCTGGCCTCCAACAAAAATGATAGTACCCATTAGTTAACAAGTGACTGGGAGAAGAAATAAGGCAGTTGCCTATAACTAACATGGGAGGCTAAAAGAGAGATCGTCTTTACATTTTGGGACAAATTTAGGGCCTTTGGCATTGGGAGACTTACACTCTCCAATCTCTTTAGCATTCTATCATATGTAATTGTGGAGCTATGAGTTTATCCCTATTTCTTCATTCCCTATTTCTTCGAAATAAAAGGATATAAGGTTTCCATCAAAAATCCAACAAAAAAAAAATTACCTTTTCAAGCCCAGAAACATAGGCTTTTGCATGCACACTTGCAATATCGTCTACTGAAGCAGGCTCAAAATGTTGAAGTTCAATTACCTCAGAGCCACGGAACTGAATCATTCATAAAATGAAGTTGTGAAAACGCAAATTCTTTACTATTTAATGCTATTGTATCAGTACGAATCATAAAACAATTCCACATTATCATCCAGTTAACTCAGTCTCTTTCATAAATTGGCCCACTTATTCTAGTTGACACGTGTACAAACCCTAGAGCCATGGATTGCCTAGGCCCTAGCGAAGTTGATTTGTCTTTCAATCAAATAGGAAACGTTGCAAGTTAAGTAACTAACAAAAGAAGACAGTGATATATTCCAGAGAATAAAATAGCCTATTTTTGTACCCAGAAAAAAAGTAGTTCATTAGCCTGTTTCTTTCCTATTCTTGGAAACTATTTTCTGTTTTTGAAAAACAAGAAAAAATTTATTAGTATTTGAAAATTGTTTTCAAAAGTAATACCTCTTTTTCGAAAGCATGATCTGAAAGAAAAAAGACTTTTTGTTTATTTTCTGAATTTTAGACAAAATTAAGTTGCCAAATACCATATCTATATGATATAAACCTGGCTTAAATATAATTTTAGTTCCTCAAATTTTGGATAAATTTTTTTTTGATCCCTCAAATTTAAAACTGTTATTTTTAGTTTTTATAATTTTCAAAAATCTTGTTTTAGTCTCTCAAGTCATCAATAATATATCTGAAAGTGACAAATTAAAATAGTTATGTACCATCAATTGAATTTAATGTGATATTTTTACCAATATAGATATCAGTAAGTAGATTTTATACGATAATATTTGACAAATTTCCTAAAAAAAAATTAAGTATAAAGATTAAAATAATATTTTTTAAAATTACAAGAACTAAAAAAACTAATTTTAAATTTAAGAAATTAAAAACAAATTCACCTTAAATTTGAGAAAATAAAAACATATTTAAGCGTATAAAATCTCTCAAAAGAAATATGTTATAATAAGAAAACACCTAGACATATACAGATGACAAAGGCGAAAATTCCAAAGCACAATGTCCAAAGCTCTTAGTAGTTAGTAGTACCTTGTAAGTAAGCTGCATTTCCTCTAGAGCATTCACAATCGCAGGAACTCTAAAATGTGATTCTGGATGAGACTCCTGTTACAGGTAGTACATCTAAATTACAATCACATCAATGCTAAACATAGTGTGTTTAGTAAGTCACGCTTGTAGCTTATAAGTCATGCTTGTTGCTTATACACTACTTCAACTAGTTTATAAGAACTTCTTTTAGCATATTTTAACAATTTTATAAATTACTTTAATTAACTTATGAAAATAAATTAACTTATAAACTATTAACTTTTTTGCGTTTTTCATTTATATTCTTATTAATTTATTTGAAATCCCTTTCTACCTCAAATAACTAAATATGAGTCTCTTTGAATACAAATTAAGATGTACTTTTAAGAATTTTTCTACTAGAAAAAAACTATTTTTGATAAATAAATAAAAAACTCTAAAAAATTCTTCTAAACTTATAACTAAATAGAATCTATGTCTCTTTATGTTTATCAGTTAATCTTATAAAACATTTCCAATATAATGAGCTAACTTAAAAAGTTTTCAGGTGGATTATGATGGCAAGTGAACACACGTACATCTATATTCTTTTCTCTCATCCAAAGGCTTAAGGATCTTCTTGAATTACCTTTCAACAGAGATTAAAAGTTGGAAACACATATACCTGGTTGTGGCCCATAGATGGAGCGACAGAGTATATAACCCGTGCATCGCTTAGTTGCTCAATAGAAGGCACAATAGATTGGTTCCTGACACCGCCCGAACACGAAATGGACGCTCCGAAACATCTCTGACTCTTACGGAATAAGCTACCATTACACACTCTTATGTCCAAAACACGATGACCCACAAGAAAGAAGGCGTTCCCTGATGCAAGCACAGTTAAGAAACGTTTTAATTTGAATTCTGGTAAGCCTGAATCGGAATCCAACAGCGTAATTGGCATCACAGAGAGAATGCAAAGATGTTGTGATGAAAAGTGAAAACCCTAAATGGAAAATGGTTTGATTGAAAGAGGAATAGTGAAATACCGAAGGAAGAAGGAGAGCGAGGAAGCATGGAGAGGAGACTGTTACTGCCACACGAACTTGAGAGTTGAGAGGCCGTTAATCAAAACATCTACTTTATCAGTTATCACAAATTTTGACAAATCACACACCACCACATTTTCTGCCTTTTTCTTTTTTTTTTTCTTGTGGGAAATTTGTGGATTATCTCATGTAAATATATCACAAATTATGAATATGCTAAAATTTTAAAAAAAATAATATAATGACAACAACAAACTATTTAAACATCTCATTACTAATGGAAAATTATTAAAACGAAATTCTAATTTTAATGGAAAATTAACGTTAAAATACTCATTACTGTTAAAGTATTTTATAATACTACACTGAAAGATTATCTTAATCAGTTTTAATATTTGTTCTAAAAACTCAGTTTTAATATAATCATTTTTTTCGGTCCAATATAGTTTTTTTTGTACAATTAATATAATGATTATAACAAATGGTTTACACCAACAATATTTGAAAAAACTATTTTTTTTAAAAGACGTACCAAAGTGTTTTTCTTCTTTTAATAAATTTTTTCTATGCATATGTTTTAAAAAAATTGAAACTTGATAGTATATTTAAGTCATAATCGATATAATTTAGAAGAATTTTTTTATTATTTTTACAAAGTGTCTTATAATTTTTAGAAAATATTAAAAAATCATCTCTATTAAAAATTGTGAAAATGTGTAATTTTTTTCTCATTTCTTAAATTTCTTTTGGTTAACATTTTATCATTTGTTGGTATTAGTGCATAAACTTTAAAGTAAAATTTTCACCTCATAATAATTAAACGATAAATAAAAAATAAATTTAATAAATTATAAGTTTATTTTATAAATCTAATAAAATTAATTAACATAATTATTTATATTGATTCATGTGATTTAGTTAAAAAAACATTTTATAATAAAAATTAAAAGGAACATAATTATTTATTAATTTATTTTTGTATCAATAAAATGATATATTATTTTAATAATCACTTTTAATTTTCATATTTATTAAATTGTTATATCTTTATTTATTAAAAAAATAAGATCTTTTTAAATAACTATCCTCCTCTTTTAATAATCACTCACTTTATTATTATTTTTTATTTTTTAAATAAATATTAAGCAACTCAAAAGATTTCTAGCTTTTTTCCCTAACTAATAAAATGATTATCCATTTTAATGTATACATATTATATAATTTTTTAATCATTTTGTCTCGATAACTATCTTTCAAATTATTTTTCTCTCTCCACCGTTTTCTTAATTAGTTTTTTATTTATTTTTTACTTTTGAAAACTGGTTACAATTATAATTATGCAACAATTATTCTCTATCTAATCGTTAATTTTCACTTTTATTTTATTTTTAAAAAAATACACATAAACACAGTCGTACGGAATTTTTTTAAATTTCAATTTTTATTATAGTTTTATTAATTGGAATTTATTAGTATGATTATGACACCAACTAATGCCATTTAATTTAATCTCTTGAGTACGAATCTGAATATAGCCTAAAAATGAGACGAGGGACGTAAGTGCTGCTTCAGCATAGAAATGTATCATTTAATTTTAATAACTCAGAACTCTAAAAATCACTTATATCAGCATCAGCCCTTCAAATTGAATGTGAATCTTTCTCTCAGGAAAACAGACACACCCTAAGCTTGGTCCCTTTCAGACATGTTCATTAGCCATTATCTTTTTGCTCTCCAATTATTTCATTAATATATTGTTTGATAAAGTAATTGTCTGACCATTGATTTAGATTTTTTAATGTGAAAACAGACAACAGCTTCAGCTCACAGTGTGCTAATAAGAACAGGTTTTATTTCTGGATATAGCTGGTATTCGATCTATATTCTGAATTTCAAAACACAATTATCACTATCTTTTAGGCCTCATGCTCCTCAAAGGTGCGTCTGACACAACTCGCAGATTAATAAACAATGAATAGTGCTCTCTTTGTTTGCATATAATTAATAATTCTTTCTTCCAATTTTTTTATCCGTTTCTTTCGAGTCAATTTTATATGTGTTTCGTAAAATCAATTTATAAAGTATAAACTAATCAAAAATTTATAAAGTATAAATTAAAAATTGAATAATCGAAAATTAATCGATTGAACTGGAAGCTTAAATAGAATGACTGATTTTAATTAATTATGATGAACTTATTATACCTAGAACAAAATATTCTCCTCTTAGTGAGTACTGACTAATGACACGTACGATGATATTATTCATGTCTGAGATGTCACAGAAAAATTCTAGACATGATAATAGAAACAGCAAACATGTAACGAAATAATTAGAAGAATTTTGTCATCTAATTTGTGTTTAAGAATGATACAATTAATTAATTATTATTACATGCATTCACATACGCCATTCAAGAGTTGATTGTTCACAAACTCGAAAACAAACCTGATCGATCACCACGGCATCAAAAAAATAAATAAATTACCATCATATTTAAAACAGGATATTCTAAAATCAAAAAATTGCCTCAAGAAAATTAATCTTGTACTTAAAATTTTACTTCAAATTTGCAGGGAAAATAAAAGTTTATCATATATGTAGTAGAGTTTGAACATATTTGGATACGAATATACAAATGTCATTTTAGAACTTCTCTATTAGAAAATATTATATATTTTTTAATAAAAAAAATCTTAAAAATACTTTTAATCTTGAATTTATATAGACTCAAAAACCTTTCATCATTCAAACAACATCAGAGTTTGTCGTGCACTACCAAAAAAATTGACTTGATTTCTACACAATTTTAATGAAGACTTTTAGAGAGATCTAATGAAAGATATGTTTTTCATCTTAGCTTCACCACCAACCCTGTGAGATTAGGATTCTTAACTCTTTATCACCCTCAGATCTGAGCTCTGATGCCTAAACTCTTAACAATCTTTCACACTCTTGCAATATTTATTTCTCTGACGATTAATATTTTTAATTTTACAGTTTCTTTCTTATTTGTTTCTAAAAAATTAAATAAAAAATCCACAAATATCTAGTATCATTATTATTATAACAAAAGAGTATTTGCTTACCTCTAGTATTTAAGCTAATGAAATTCTGTGTTCAATTATTCAAGACAGCTACTTTTGTCTTCTGACTTGTGTGTGGTGTTCAGTTTTATCTAGAGTGCCTGCCATGTGGTAATGTTTTCTGGGAAGTGACTCTGTTCATTTCTGGTTGAGCCTTGAGCCTCCTTTGTTTTGTGTCTTGTTTTGAGTTGAGGTGTAATAGTTTGAATAATTTTGTTAGAAATACTTTTAAGAGAAGAAAATAACAAGAAAAAATTAAATAATTTTTTATAAGATAAGATTTGTTAATATATATAAGTTAAAAATTATTTTTTTTAAAATTAAAATGAGAAAACCTCTATAAATTAGTTTATATATAAGGTAATTTTAACTTTTAAAAAATTCCTATAATCTTTTCTTAAAAGTATTTTTTACCCCTAAATGTTCATATACCAAGAACCTTTGGCATTCTTAGGTACTACTCCCATCAATGGAGGATTCGGGGGACTTTCTTCATTGGTAGGACACATCAAATGGATCATTCATTCTCATGATTATTGACAATATATACCAGAATCATTGTTTTAGAAATAGATAAGTATATAGTAAATACTGCTACATTTACTAGTAGTAGAGCTCAATAGAAATATTGTCATGTAAGTTTCTTAATGGACTCTAATTATTTATATCCATACATAATTTTAGAGTATTCTATAATAGATTCAATATATTGGATTAATATACGAGACACTTTACCCTCCAAGAAATTATTTAACTAGGCTCTCCAAAGATAAGGAATTTCACATAGGAATTGCTACCCTCCATTTAAATTAAAGAAACTTGTAACATATAAAGGGGAGGCTTAGTGGGGCAAAAAATAACTTCAGACAGTTGATTATGAAAGGTGTATATACTTTACTGTTATATATAATTCACATAAATGTTTCACTAAGCTACAAAAGACAATATGCATTAATCTGGAACATTTGCTTGGTCTTGGGATTTTGATCGGATCCTGTGTGGAAGGCCAATCATAGTGTATTACATGCAGGCCACATTGAAAAACATTGATAGAAGCATAAAACTGTTCTCAGCAAAGACAAAAAGAAGAAGCCAGAGCATCTTCTCATCAATGAAGGCGAAGGAAAAAAAAAGGACATATGATCAAAATAATTAAACTGATTACATCCATCAGCTCATAATAGGCAAACATCCTTATTCCTCGACTAATAAAATAAAACTCATTCAAATCCAATATCATAAAGTCACTTAGAATACCAATTCTCGTCGAGATAAGTAATAATAATTTGTATTTCTTAATAAGTTATTTAGAGTTCAATTTCAAATATTAGACATATAATAAATCATGTTGAAAGAAAAATATTCATCATGATTATACTCACAGTTTCTGGTGAAAATTAATATTGTTTCCGATTATCGATACTTTGTAACATTCTCATGATAAATAAATAAAGTCGCTCGGAATGAATTGGACTTTTGTGGTGCGGATTTTTTTGTGTGGTGAGGAGTGAGTTTTGAATAATTGAACAGTGAAAGGGAAGAGGTTCACGGGCAAGCTAAGTGTATTTTTTTATTTAATTTATTTTGTTTATCAAACATGACTTTGTTTCTTATTAATCCAAATAGTAAAAATGCTACTAGTGTGATGATGAGTTGTTGTAGTTGTAGGTGGGGCAAGTGCCAAGTGAGAGATACAGGGTGTACCTAACTGACCAAAGAAAGAGTTCACGGGTTCTTCAGCTTCTTCTATGACACTGAATTAGATATTCGAATCCAGACAAATTCATTGAATAAATAAATAAAGTAAAAAAAAAAAAAAAATCTTATAACAATCTATAGACTAGGGAGAAAACAGAAAAGAAAAAAAAAAAACTTGCAGCTAAGTGATGAACCAAAAACACAACTTCATGGATAGACATTGGTTTAAGTGAAACTAAATTTGGATCTCTTTAGTAAAATTGATTATGTGGATGCAAAAATTAAGATAAGAGTAAATAATCTACTAAAAATGATCAATCAAATTTTTCAACAAGGATTTATTACCAATAAAGTAAATAAATGCATTGCACAAGTAAAATAGTTACCAATAAAAATAATTATTTCAAACATTTTATGTGAATTACCATTCTAATCTAATTTCTAAGTAATTCCTTTTCTTAAGATGTTCCGACAAGAAATCTATTGGCTAATTACATTTTGTTGGGAATAATGCCCTGATTTGCTTAATATGTAACAATCTTCAGAGAGGCTTTCATCCAATTCCAAGGTGCAATAACAAAATTATTTATCTATAAAAGGAGAGATAATCACATTACTCTCAACAAATTCTTGTGCTTTTTAAGTGATCACATGATCCCATCAAAACTCTCATAGAGAATGGTTGGTTTTGGAGCAATTTTAATAGAGAATGATTCTTTCTTTCTACTTTTATTAATTAGACGGATAGAATGATATTTTTCAGTATGCCCAAGATTGAATTCGAGAAACATGTGCATGGCAGAAGATAATTGTATGCAATTAATGCTTGAACTTCAAGACAAAGATGGAAATTGGTGGTGAGCTTATCAAATTACACAGTTATGGAAGATTTTGATTCGTTGAGGAGCATTATGAATTTTCAGCCACAAGCTTGAGGTCCCAAGGGACCACCACTTTGGTAATTCCCAAATCCTAGTGTCCTTTACATGTAACTCCAAATGTGTACTTAGTGTTTTTCAACAATTCCAGCATTAGCCCTTCATAGTATTTTTCCGAAGAATATCTGTATCAATCCTCATAAAATACACGAAAAATTTCCATGCTTTTAAGCATAAACCATCTCTGCTATACTCAATATCGCTCTCGTTATCGTCTTTTAGATTAGTCATTCATGAAGACGTTAAATATTTAGTATTAATAACATGATTATAAAAAAAATATTTCTCATAATTTTGATCAAGACAAAATAAATAGAGAAGTATGGATGGAATTGCAGAAAATCGAAAATTTGTAAATTGACCATTGTATGTTTATATCACTGTTGACAAGTTGCCATTGTTGCATGAGTCGGATTAATCGTGTAATCCATGTACAAGTGGACACGAGATTAAAATGATAAGAAAATGATTTGCAAACATCATGATGCAGGTAAAATAGTACTATTGTGTAATATAAACGGTAAAAGAAACTGAATTGTCATAAATAATATTCTGTCATGAACGTTGATTAACGAATCTAATCCCATACCAATGTCAATTATGCTCCAAAAGACCAAAACCATTTACAGTGCTGATCTAGCATCCTTCATGTTACAGTTACTATTGACAACAACACCGAAGTTATGTTTTATGTGTAGCTGTCCATTAAACAACGAGAAACCAAAATGATTCACGTGAATTATTCAATGTTCCACGTCTAAACCAGGGATATGTGTTACGACACTCAATTTGGTACGTTAATCAACAAAGTATTAATATATTAGCTTTTTATTGAATATATGTATATATCATGTTCACTGACATGAGTAACGTATTGGCGATATACTAATATATTATTGAGTCGTAATGTCTAAATTATTACTTATATTAAATTTATACGAGCATCTCTGTGTCCAAATATGTAAAATTGATGGAGAAATAGCAAGTGCACGTGAACTTCATATGCAAAGTTCGAGGACCTGAGTGTCTTTGCAGTAAAATCCCTTGGAGCCACACATTGTTTCACTGTCAGTAGTTGAGGCCAAAACCATGGATTTAAAAAAGAATATAGAACAGATAGGAAGATAGGCAAATGGGTTTGGGAATTAGAAGAGAGTAGAAACAACAGAAACACATAGAAAAAGGAGGCATAGCAAGCTATTCAAGCGAAGATGCAAAGCTGTGAGGTTGAGGCCATTGGCATAAACTACACGATCCACACACACAAATCGGAGCACCCTTTTAAAATCTTCAGCAAACCTGAACAACTTGACACTAAACAAGTTGGTAGAGAGGAAGCAAAAGCAGAAGCTGAAGAAAGTTGCAGTGGTGTAAGGCATGTGCTGAAGAATGTGAGTTTCCAAGCCAAGCCATGGGAGATCCTAGCAATTGTAGGGCCAAGTGGAGCTGGCAAATCATCACTTCTTGAGATTCTTGCTGGCAAACATAGTCCTCAAAGTGGGACTGTGTTGGTGAACCACAAACCTGTGGACAAAGCTCAGTTCAGGAAGCTTTCAGGGTATGTTACACAAAAGGACACTTTGTTTCCTTTACTTACAGTTGAAGAAACCCTGATGTTTAGTGCAAAGCTGAGGCTGAAGCTTCCTCAGGAGCAACTTTGCTCCAGGGTCAAGTCACTCATTAAGGAGCTTGGACTTGACCATGTTGCTGGCACTAGAATTGGTGATGATAGGGTCCGAGGCATATCTGGTGGTGAGAGGCGCAGAGTTTCCATTGGTGTTGAAGTCATACATGATCCAAAAGTGCTGGTTCTTGATGAACCAACTTCAGGGCTTGACAGTACTTCAGCTTTGCAAATAATTGACATGCTTAAGGTCATGGCTGACACCAGAGGTAGGACTATAATCCTCAGTATCCACCAACCCGGATTCAGAATAGTGAAGCTGTTCAATTCATTGTTGTTGTTGGCCAATGGAAGTGTCTTGCACCATGGAACTTCTGATTTGCTTGGTGTGAATCTAAGGCTGATGGGTTTGGAGCTTCCCCTTCATGTCAATGTGGTTGAGTTTGCCATTGAGTCCATTGATACCATTCAGCTACAACAGAAATGTGAGCCAGTTCAAGTAGAAACTCCAAGGCAACTAATGCAACTGAAGAAAGGTGATGATGAAGCAGGCGAGAGTAGGAATGGTAAGTTTACTTTGCAACAGCTGTTTCAGCAATCCAAGGTAATTGATGAAGAAACCATCTATGATGCTGGAATGGATTTCACTTGTGATTTTGCTAATTCTAGATTGAGAGAAACTATGATTCTCACTCATAGGTTCTCCAAGAACATATTTCGTACAAAAGAGCTATTTGCATGCAGGACAATTCAAATGCTGGTTTCTGGGCTGGTTTTAGGGTCCATCTTTTGTAACCTTAAGGATGATCTAGAGGGAGCTTTGGAAAAGGTGGGTCTATTTGCTTTCATATTAACGCTTTTGTTGTCAAGCAGTGTAGAAGCTCTACCAATTTTCCTGCAAGAAAGGGAGATTCTAATGAAGGAAACATCTTGTGGAAGCTACCGTGTGTCATCCTATGCTATTGCCAATGGCCTAGTTTACTTGCCATTTCTTCTCATCCTAGCCATTTTGTTCGCAATGCCCTTGTATTGGCTTGTTGGACTTAACCGGAATTTCTTGGCCTTTTTGCACTTTCTGTTGCTGATATGGTTGATCCTTTACACGGCCAATTCAGTTGTGGTGTGTTTCAGTGCTCTAGTGCCTAATTTTATTGTTGGGAATTCAGTGATTTCTGGTGTTATAGGGTCATTCTTCTTGTTCTCTGGGTACTTCATATCAAAGAATGAAATTCCAAATTACTGGATTTTCATGCATTATATATCCTTGTTTAAGTATCCCTTTGAAGGGTTCCTGATCAATGAGTTCTCCAACTCGGGGAAGTGCTTGGAGTACTTGCTTGGGGCATGTGTGAAGAGTGGAGAGGATGTGCTTAGAGAAGAAGGGTATGGGGGAGAGAGTAACAGATGGAAGAATGTTGGGGTCACTGTGTGCTTCATCATGGTTTACAGGTTCATTTCTTATGTTATTCTTAGATACAGATGTTCACAGAGGGGGTTTGCCAGGGTTGTCACCAACTAAAGTCTATGGTGACTCTTTTTCTCTCTGGTTCACGTGTACTGGATTCTACTTCTGATAGCAACCAATGAAGATATTATCAACAAAAAATAGCATAAAGAATTATAGGGTCGGACAGTGCCAACAAATTGTACTAACACGATATTATGTTGGTTTTTGCTTTACATGATTACTTAATTCACACCTTTGTGCTTATCTTCTCAATCTAGATTCCTTCTTCCCCCCTAATATATTTTCATCTTAGGTTAGTTGGTCAATGCCCTAATCCACTAGCTTTGTTCTAAAAGAGAACAATGAAAATGTGATCATGCTATAACTAAAGAGCTTCGCCAGGTTTGCTTAGCAAGCCTAATTTGAAGTACACTATATCCGGATATGAATGAACTTTCTTTTTTTGGTGCAAAATAATTGAGCATTTACATCAGTATGGCGGATAAGAAATTGACAAACACAACGACAAATATTATCTGCTTACTATCCCAGTATTCCTTTTTATCATTATTTGTAAAAGAGCAATGCTTCAGTCTCCGAATAAGGTGTCCGACTTATCGTCCGAAATATTAAAATAAAAATATTTCGTAATAAATTTATAATAAAATAATTATTTAATTTAATATTTTAATTATTCAGAATGATTTTGAAACATGTTTTCGGAAAATCCATCATTTCCCTTTGTAAAATTCACGAAAGCTAATGCCTAAGTACCCATGTGATATGATATAGAAGATGCACCCGTTATGTAAAGTAGCACTAAGCTGCTTTGAGCTCATTGTCCCGGCATTCAATCAATCAGAGTTATTATCAATAAAAATTAACAATGGATCACGTGTTTAACAAACAGATGATTTCATTCCAGGTTCAGCA